GACCTAGAGCCCTTTGAAGGCAGGTCCTTGAATGCAGTTTTCTTCGCTTATCTTTGTTATCATTGATCGTAGAATCACAAAATTCTCTCCTCTCTCGCTCTCCCTTGCTCTCTCTCGCTCCCTCTCTCTCTCTCTCTTGCTCGCTCGCTCTGGCTTCCTATTCTCCAGAAGTACACCAAGAGCTTGGAAAAGGCAAAAAAAAACTTCCTGATTACATTACCCTTTATTGATACCTATATACGAGATTATTAACAGTTTCATTTATATACTTGAAATATTTACACTTCTAAAAATCAAATATGGATTTGCAACTGGTACCGCAAGGCAAAATTGTATTTAGAATCATCTGTAAAACAAATTTTATTGGAAGTAACACAATCTTACCAATAATAGTATTAAAATTTTGGAGAATGAGATTGATCACTAGTTTGACCAAAGAATTCAGCCTAGTCGTTAAATTCACAAAAACTCCTCGAGATGTTGGACCAATATCGATATCGTTCAATTCCAGAGTCAAATCTTTAGCCTTCCTTTTAGCAACTATTGCCTCTATGAATATCCTCAATTGCTCCAAAGCTTCATTTACTTTTTCCTCACTCAAGTCGCCTGTATTATTTTTCTCAATTTGATCGTCACGCGTATCGTTCTGAGGTAAGTACGCAGAGATGTTTGATCTCGAATCTTCACTGATATTTTCTGACTGTGGCGGATTTTTCAGACGATCAAAAAAAGGATTTGAAAATATTCCTCCTGGTGAACCTTGAGTAACGTCTATCAAGAAAATCTGAAAAAACAATAGCTTCTTAGTAACATAATCACATGAAATATTCTTACTTACGATATAGAGTATGTAGAAACAATTCATTTTCAATGTGAGTGATGCTGCTTTGGCGAAATATAACTGAATGGCCTCCAACCATAAGCAGTTTCAACAATGTCGACAAATCTCTGGATAAATAAATTGATAACAGGCGTCATAGAATTTTGTTGATTTCATATTGTTGCATCGCATCATAGGATTTTTGTATTTGCAGAAAAGTCACAAATATTTGAATAGAAATTCATTTGATGGCATCATCCCTGTGCTATGAGTTCCTTTATCTAGAAATCATGTGGTGTTTTCCCAGAATACGTCACAATACCGAAAAAAGTTCTCATGTTTATTAGGTTTTAATGATTATTTTTCATTTTAGTCGTATAATTTTAAACCAATCAGAACATTCAATTGAGTTAAGCTACCTGGTATAATTCCGAATACACGTGGATATACAAAGAGTAACTACTCTAATCAGAACTTTAGAATTATATCCATAGTAACCAATTCATATTTTGTAACATAGAAAGCGCGTCGTGAAATGTTGACGTTCGTTTAGAACTACTCAAAAAATAATCGCATGGTATACAATTCGAACTTCAGGATATTCATGGTTATACATCTCAAACTTCCTGCTTAATTACAAATCGCGTCAGTTCAACAGAATAATCCAACTGCCAAACTGACACTCTTTGTAATTATGCAACAAGTAATCGATAAATCGATGTATAACCCGAATATTTTGAATTACTTATAGTATGAATACTGTCTGTAGGTTAATCGAGGAGGTGTTACATTAATTTCACTTGATTGTTTGGGATTTTCTCATCGTTTCCACAAAATAAAAATATAAGTATTAATTCAATATATGTGTAGTAGGACGAATCAGATGATTTGAACACTTGTGCTCAGTTACCGACCAGAACGTAGTAAATACTATGCGAAGAAATTTATGAAGTAAAGAAAGTCGTTAATTTTTTGTGAAAAATAAAATCGTGTATGCACCACGAGTGTTACTAGATCCTAACGCCCGATGACCAAAAGATGTTTTTGCCAAATCTCATAATTCACCCTATATATTGGTGAAGAATAGAAAAGCCTCTATTCATGGTAGGAGTACAGTTCCTCATGGCTCACCCTGTATATTGAGTGTGTGAGAAGATGGTCTACAGTAGAATGTACATTTTTTAACCAAATTTAAAATACTCTCCGACTACCAACACGGTTTCCGAACAGGAAAATCAACTCAATCGGCATCATGTAGCCTGATATATATTCCAATCTTGATAGTAGACAACATGTTGCAGGACTCTTTTTTGATTTGTCCCGCGCTTTTGACTCGATTTTATGCTGGACTTTATTGAAAATAAGTTGTATAACTTGGGATTTAGAGGAGTCTTCTTAGATTGGGTGTGTGATTATCTTCACCATAGACAAATACAGTGTCTTTCAAAAGTATCGGAACGGTCTCATATTTCAGGAACGGCTTGAGAAAAATTCACGAAATTTTCTACAGGGTGATTATTGATGATGTCCGATTCAATGGTGGCATCGGCAATGTTGCCAAGTTTACAGTTTTCCAGATATTAGGAGTAACTTTAATTTTTCAAATGGAATACCCCATTTATTTTTATTGCAATTAATTGAGCGCCTCCTAATTACTTGAGTCCCTGAATATCAGATTCGTAATTAATGTGATTTTCGAAATATGACAACATAGCATTTTCGTTAAAAAGTTCTGGCACGGTCCCATATTTCAGAAACGGCTTAGAGAAAATTCATGAAAACTTCGACAGGATGGTTGTTGATGATGCCCGATTCAATGGTGATATCGACAGTGTTGCCAAATCAACAGTTTTTCAGATATTGAGGATAACTCAATTTTTTCAAATGGAATACCCTATTTGTTTTCATTGCAATACATTCAGCGAGAGGCAATCCATCACTTTGTGCTCTAAATACACAAATAGCTATTGAAGTGCTTGTTACTGATTACAAAAACTAAACGCTAATAACTATTTGAGTGACATGGATTGAAAAGACTGCATTGAAGGAGCGAGTTGCGAATTGATCGCAATAAAATTTCATATATTCGCGTGCCCTTTTGAAAATATTGGAGCGTTCGCGGACATTTCAACGGAGCATGTTCTCATATTTAACAAAAACCACACCTATTTAAAATTTGATATTTGAAGACATAAGTAATGAGGCGTCGCTGAATGTATTGCAATAAAAATAAATAGGGTATTCCATTTGAAAAAATTGAGTTATCCTCAATATCTGAAAAACTGTTGATTTGGCAACACTGTCGATATCACCATTGAATCGGGCATCATCAACAACCATCCTGTCGAAGTTTTCATAAATTTTCTCTGAGCCGTTTCTGAAATATGGGACCGTTCCAGAACTTTTCAACGAAAATGCTATGTTGTCATATTTCGAGAATCACGTTGATTACGAATCTGATATTCAGGGACTCAAGTAATTAAGAGGCGTTTAATTAATTGCGATAAAAATAAATGGGGTATTCCATTTGAAAAAATAAAGTTACTCCTATTATCTGAAAAACTGTAAACTTGGCAACATTGCCGATGCCACCATTGAATCGGACATCATCAATAATCACCCTGTAGAAAATTTCGTGAATTTTTCTCAAGCCGTTCCTGAAATATGAGACCGTTCCGATACTTTTGAAAGACACTGTATGTGTCAAAGTAGAAAATAATCTCTCTAGCACACAATCTCTGCACATAGGTGTTCCGCAGGGTTCGGTACTGGGACCGTTGATATTTTTATTGTTCGTCAATGACATGCCTCAACATATTAATACCGAACTTTTAGCTCTATTCGCTGACGATACTTCATTAGTGGTCACTAGTCGAAATCACGAAGGATTAGTTTTGTCCACTAAACAGATAATGACATATTTTAATAATTGGTGTGCACGAAATTGCCTGATTTCAAACGTTTCCAACAATTTGATTTTGATGGAACAAGTATTGAGTCCAATGAAAGTACTGAATTTCTGGGTGGGTATACATGTGGATCAAAACTTACGTTTCACCGATCATGTAAAAAACTGAACAAATCAAAATCTGCAATATCGCGCATCAAGTCCGCCATGCCTATTGAATCTCTGTTGACGGTTTACTATAGTCTTGTCTACAGTCATTTGTCTTATAACGTAGTTCTGTGGTGAAATTCTATGAACAGTGAAAGAAATCTTCACAACACAAATAAGGATATTTCGTACTATGTTAAAAATACCCCCAAGAGAGTCCTGTAGGCCCCACTCCATTTTTCACAAAATTATTACCTTTCCATGCTTATATATTCTCAAATGCTCATTGTATATTAAAGATAACATCTCCGAATTTAAAACGAATTCACATTACCACAACTATCCTACCAGAAATGGTAATCTTCGGTATATCCCGAAACACAAAACTATAAAATTTGAGGGTCTTTTGTTGATCTGAGGATACTCCGCTTACCAGGGGATTATATTATTAAACCACTTGCCTGAAACAGTTAAAGAGCTGAACAAAAATATCTTCAAAAGCCGAGTGAAGTTTTCATTATCCTCCAAAGATTCACCCACGCTGCTCTCTTGGAATATAATAAATTACCAGATAATATAAAAAATTGCAGAAATACAATAAAATTCAAATACCATCTTAAAAAATTTATCATTTCTGAACGAAATAGATGACTTGTTTATTTTTTTTTTTTTCCAACTTTTGATTCATATTCAAATTGATTTTTGCTCACCAATATGAAATGATTTGTCAAAATTTAATAATTAATGTTTTCAAATATTTTATTATTCATCAGTTTATTATAATTGTATAGTTTTAGGTATTATTGTTAACTATACTTCCTTATACCAGAACTTGATTCTGACTGGAAGTAACATTTTCAATAAATAAATAAATAAATAAATAAATAAATAATGTCAGACTGCGATGTAGAGTCCATGTGACAATACAGCTAAATTTTACATGTTTTTGTACCTCTGATGTAATATTTTATCTATAATATCACTATTTGTGATTGATGTATTTGTTTTTTGTATGTTCTATACAACCCGACTTGTCCTATACATTCTGTGGATGTCTGAATGGATCAATAAAATATTTATTTATTTATATCGCCCTTGGTACTTAAATAACTATTCCTCTTCCAGGTCCGGGCGGGCGATCGCTCGTCGAAATCCAGCAGATCAGCGGCGCCAACATCCAAATCTCCAAGAAGGGCATCTTCGCGCCGGGCACGCGCAACCGCATCGTCACGATAACCGGCAACCCGCACGCCATCACCACCGCCCAATACCTGATCGAGCAACGGATCGCCGAAGAGGAGATGAAAAGAGCGAGGAACAACGGCCTCGGCACGCTCGCGATACAGTGATCGACCTAACCGCCACCGCACCTAACCTCTCTCACTCTCTCTCGAGAACCTAACCTCAAACGGCAGAACGGAGGGACGGTTCACGCTGCACGTAACGTCAACGTAACGCGAACATAACGTCAAGGTAATTGGCTGGCAATGGGCTCAATGTAAACACCTAACCTGGAAGGGATTCTCTGGGAACGCCGTGATCCGGAAGGTCTACTCTCGACTGACGACCACGGCGACATAGGCAAACAATGGTACGTTTTTGATGACCGGGCTAACGTCTGTCTCTGAAATTATTGAACTTTAATAAAAAAAATAGCAAAAATAGTGGGTCAGGTCACAGGTCATGTTCTATTTAGTTTCTTAGATAAAATTAGCAACTGGCAAGTACCATTTTACATCGACCATTCAAGTTTAAAAATTGCGAGACAGGATCCTATAGGTATTTTTGTATTGGTTGCCGACGAGTTTCTGATAAACAGAAGATATGTTGGACAAGTAATTATTACTATGGAGGTTATTGATTGGAGAAATATTCAAGATACTGATGTGTGGGCTTTTTTCAGATATTTCTCTACTAAGTCATCAAATGAGCTAATTTTTTGTTTTTTTGTCTGATTCTCAGTGTGATCTGAGTTGTTTCAGTATCTTGCTATAATATTATTCTGAAGTTGTGACCACCTACTCAATTTGATATCATCATTTGGAATCATGGAATCCCAACTTATTATCACCTAGTTAAACTTGGACCTGCATCTCATTCAATACTACAACTTGGGAAGATATTTTCATTACATTTGACTGGAAACCTAATTGATAAAAATAAATTTCACCCTCTGTCTCACATACTTTCCAATCTAACTGAGGGTGTCTTGATTCTTAGCAAAATTCTCAGGAATGATCCATCTCTAAGCGAAAATGTATCTTATCTAATAATATCTGTTTCAACGAAATAAATTGCACACACTGCAGATATATTGTACAGGATGAGCGGAACTCAATATCTCACCTATATCATAAGAAAGAAAAACGATGGAAACATTTTGAAAAGAAGAAACAACAATCAATTCACACCAACAAATCCAGTCCTTTTGATAAAACAAAACACGCCAAATGAAGCGATATTTCACATAACTAAAAACAAATACTCCTATTATTGGATAAAAAAAAATACACACCTATCCGACATTGAACAACACGAGTATTAAAGAGGCAGGTTACCGTAGCACAAGATATCTCTGTTGCAGCTGCCCCTGACACACTGCTATTCGAGAAAACGGCAGTCTCCCTTCCAGTTGTTTACATTGAGTTCATTGACTGCTGCTGGTACTCAATGTTAATGCGCAGGTCTGAATAACGTTAAATATGCATGTAACGCTAACAAGTGCTGAGCATTCTCGAAGGTAATATTTAGTACCTTCAATGTCGTTGTAGGACGTCAAAATATGGTAGGACTTCAAGATATGCTGAGCGTAACGGGAACACTATAAAAATAACGTCCAATCTGTCAAGGGCAATGTATTATACAAATGTAAACATTCATTTCACGTAGGACTTCCACATATGCTGAGCATAATGTGAACACTATAAACGTAACGTCAAGTCTCTCAAAGATATAATTTTATATACCTTCAAGGTCATTGCAGGACATCGAACTATGGTTTGAACAACGTTACAAATATAAATGTAATGCCTCAGCGCTCTTTGATGATCTTTTGGTTCATTTATGTCTCATAGGACTTCAACATATGCTAAGCATAACTCCAAGTGAACAACAGAACAATTATGAATATAACGCTTTTAGAATGTCTGGTCTGGTGACAGTGAATGTCACTTTAGGACGTCGTTGCGGCTACAAATGCTGAGTATAACTTGAACATCGTGAACATAATTTTACCTCCAATGCCACTGCAGGACTAAAAATATTTTGGTTTTCATAACGCCTCAGCGCTCTTTGAAAATGTCTGGTGAATTCAACGTCGCGTATGACGTGAACACTATAAATATATATAATGAATATCAATTTTGTAAACTTTTTGAAATTCAATGAATCATACATCTACACAAAAAAATATACCTTCACTGTCATTGCAGGTCGTCAGAATATGGTTTGAACAACGTTACAATAAAAAACATAACGCCTCAGCGATCTTAGGTCTAGTACAATCGGTGTCACTATGAAGTTAACATGCTGAGCATGATGTTGACCTTACATAAACATAACTTCATGTATCTTCAAGGTAATATATTGTACCTTCAAATGTCATTGTAATATAACGCTTACATGCATAATTATGGTTAATCTCCAGCATTCTTGGTCATAAAACGATAGTCAAAATAAAATGCACGGGCAAATTTCAATAGATTCGAATGATTTCACCTGCAAGTATAAGTTCTAAATAGAACAAATTTTATGCAATGTTGGCGTTGACGTTCTGTGTCGTGTAAACCGTGCTTCCGCCATTTTAATTAGGTAGCCTCGATTGAAAAAGTCGTCATTCTTGTCTAAATTGTCGGTGATAAAGGGCACACTGGTAGGTGCCAGCGTTTTTGTATTGTTATTACAATGTTTATGGGAATTCTTTCGAACATTTTGATAACTGCATCTCAAAAATACTGGATTTGTTACCTGAATATACATTTATTTGCTCAACCTGTTGAAATCGATTTTTTTCTATAACAATTCCTATGAACGTAGCATGCGATGAAAAGAAATAACCGTGAAAAATAAATTATCAAGAAGAATTACAGTTTATGAAAATATTCCATAGGGTTGATCAAATCTGCAACCTTTTGAGATGTAGGTTTGAAAATGTTCGGAAGAAATTTCATGTTGTCCACATTTGTTTTTGTTGTCAACTGTACCCCGTACAGTATAATTTTATAAGTGCATGTTTTTTTTATTGTAAAATATAAACAATTGTTTTTCAAACTTCTGGTGATTTTTTGTGGGTCGATCATTATCATTATTATTATATAGATTATTTGCGACGAGGACCAATCTAAGTCAAATGTTTTCTGTAACCAAGAAAAATTTTATTTCTGTTGACTATCTGGCTGAGAAGCTTTTGTTATCGAAACATTAATTGTTATGAAACGATCTGATTTTTTATGAGAAGTATAGCGAAGAAGTTTTAAATTGAAATTGCGATATTCATTGATTATCACTTCTGGTGTTTGTACCGATTCATTTTCATCATTATTTTCTTTATTCATATGGTATTTAAAGAGTTATTTTATTCATAATATATCCTATAGGATTTTCTCAGCAATCTGGAGAGGTATGTGTTAAATTTTTCAAGAGTAATTTTATGGCATCTTTTATGATATAGCAGAAAATACCTTGAAAAAATGTATGGCCAAGAGAATTACAAAAACCATCACACTTTCTTCCAGAACCACGTCGAAGAACATTCCTACAGTACGTCTTTGTAACTATTATTCTTTTTCACGGTATTTTTACTTGTACTCAGGTTGATACTAAAGATTGCTGAGCATGATTAGGTTTCAACATTAACTTGGTGTCTTGTGATTGGTAATTATCTGAGGAGTTGACCGTATTTTATGAACCTAAAATGAGGTTCTGTTATTGACTTTTTGGACAGTCGACATTAGGGCCTTTAATTCTGGTCAATTAATGTTAGTCTGTGAGAAATAGTCTCCAGTGAATCATCGAATCAGTTTTTCTTGATTAGGCCTTCTTACTTTTCACTTAGTTGCTTCTTAAGAAGAATGGTAGATTTCAGCAGTTGAAAATCACATATCTCTAGTTTTTTCAGATGTTCTCTCCATTATCAGTACTAGGTACTATTTAAATATATTTGCAGCAGAGACGAATCAGATGATTTAACCAAAAATGTCACTGCTGTAAAAATTTGACTACCTATTAAAAACCTGAAGTTGGAATGATGTTATCTGAAGTCAGTGTCACTTTTTGGATAAAATGTGTGAAGAACAGAAATAGGTATGAATTTGAAAAATGAAGATAAGCAATCAGAGGAAATAAATTGAAAAATTTGCTTACTTCTCAAAAACACTGCTTCCCGTTCAGTTAATATATTGAGATGGTATCAAATATTAAGATCAATTAATGACTATAACACCTTGTGACCATAGTTTCTGCCAACTTGTTACTGAGAAGTGTCTATCTCTGAAGCAAAGAAACATTTCTATTTTTATGTCGAAAACATGAGTACATGTCCCAGGAATGTCCGAAGACATAAGTGATAGTTCGATATATGTACTCCTATCCCTCTTCTATACACATTTTTTTCAAAAAAGATGTCACCGAATATCGAATTTACGTTTTAGGCTCTAATAGTGAAATTTTGAAGACAGTAACAAATCACCTAATTTGTTCTTACAACAAATCTATTGAATGCTCACACTTTTTTTCATTGAAAAAAATTGAATCCGAAGAAACTAGAGGAATTGAAAATAACTGCCTATAATTTATTATCTTGTACAACAGAAATAGTACAGTCTTCGGCTTTTTCATTAAAACGTCATCTATATTTTGGGAAGACTGCAAATTTCTCACGGATTATCATGAATACAGTGTGTTCCAGAAGAAGAGGTCAATAATACAGGGGTCGTTAGACAAGGTCAAATTAATGTTAGTACTTCATTTTTGTTGAAGGCTCCTAAACTTAAGAGCTGAAGATTATTATTCATTCATAAATCTTTATAACGACCAAATTGATGTTGTCTCTGATACGACTGGATAAAATAGTAGGTAATTGAATATTATTTTGACCTCTAGCCATTCCTGAATTAGTGACCTAATCTCCTGTTGATATCTCCTATAATCAAGACGGGTAGATATCCATATTGTAGGTAGTGGGTTCAAAACTTCAAAGCTGTATATATTTTTTCTTTTAGCTGGTTGAATATTCCGAATTGTGTACCTGTGTCGAACCTCAAAATATATATATGTATATTTGACAGTCCTCTATATTTGGCTGGCCAAATAGCGAGGACATGGATTTTGAAGAGTCTATTAATATGTTACCAATCATGAAATGTTTATTTAGGGGACACTGATAAACTATGGGCATGACATAATCTGTAAATAGTCATAGCGAATTTAGTCATCTATTTCACTTCTAAAGCTGTTACATCTTTCTCATGAATCTTTATCATACAGTACGCTTGTTCAGAAGTCTCCCTACAAACTTTCAAGAGTCAAGTGCAACAAATTGGCTTGAACATTGAAAGAGGGAATTTTATAATAATTATTACATATTATTGATGTAATGTGACCCGTATATTGTTGTTATAGCATGTTGTTGAAATATTGTTAATGTTTGAACTATTGACATCCCTCTGCCCAACATATTGTTCTTCAACACTAGATAACCTGAATAGTTTGGCCTTGAGATGCTGTATCTAAATTGATACTGCAGGCTGATATACTGCTGCAGATTCTAGAAACTGTTTTAATGAAAAATTTCAAGAACGGTTTTGGCAACGGTTCTACAAATGTTCTTAGATTGTGATGTAATGTCTTTTCTCGAAGAAAATAAGCAAAATAAATGTCTCTTTCCAACTAATTATTCTGAGCGTGCTACGACCGTAGACGTACTGAAATTTGGAGAAGTCCGATTATTTTGTCTTGTCTAACATCTAATTTATTCCACTTGACTATACTCGATATCATATTGTCATGGATCATGAATACATCGCTTTTTTTATCCCTATAGACTGGGATATAGTGACAGACAAGTTTAGTTCAGTCAGTTCAGGTTCATAAATTTTAATATGGTTACGTTGGTAACACCGACGAGAAAGATAGAAGAGGACTGAATATTTATATCTCTCGTTCAAGATAGTAAAGAGCTCAATTGAATAGCATAAACACTATATCTGAAGCTTTTTTCAAAAATAGTCCAGTCATTATATCCAAATAACGGACCTTACGCGTGAATAATTAATTTTTGAGTGTTTTTTTTCATAGGTGTCTTAAGGGGGTCACTGGGAGTGTAAATTCAAAATGGCGACCAAATCAAGTTTTTGTGTATGTTTTTCTTAAAAAAACGGTTTTTCTTGAATAACTCGGCCATTTTTGATTCTACAGAAAAGGTTTGGGGACAAAAATTGTAGTAAATTTGGTTCTCTACAAGTTTGGTCCTTACAATTTTTCTGATAGGATCGATATTTTGTAAATTAAACCTGAAAAAAGCGACAAATTCGAAATATTTTCATTATCTCGTTTATTTTCAACTTTACGGCATAAATGAACAGAAACAAACTTGTAGAGAATCAAATTTTGGACAAATTTTGTCTCTACCTGTTTTTCCGAAAATCGATATTTTCGGAATTAAACCTAAAAAAAAACGACTCATTCGAAATATCATCATTATCTCGTTTATTCTCAACTTTACACCATAAATGAGAAGAAACAAACTTGTAGAGAATCAAATTTTGAGGAGAGAGGATATGGATTTGGCAGGACCATCAGCTAAGAAACCAAAAAAAAATAGTTCCGGAACCATATTTTCACACCGACATGACAGACAAGCTACCTGCGCGGAATAACCTCTTCATTTATGCCGTACAATGCGAAGCATTGGAGATAATGATAATCTTTTGAATTTGTCGCTTCTTTCAGGTTTAATTTCCAAAATATCGATTTTTGGAACAAAAACGTGGTAACCAAAATTGTTTATAATTTGATTCTCCACAAGTTTGGTCCTCTTCATTTATGCCGTAAAGTTGAAAATAAACGAGATAATGGAAATATTTCGAATTTGTCGCTTTTTTCAGGTTTAATTTACAAAATATCGATCCTATCAAAAAAATTGTAATCACCAAACTTGTAGAGAACCAAATTTACTACAATTTTTGTCCCCAAACTTTTTCTGTAGAATCAAAAATGGCCGAGTTATTCAAGAAAAACCGTTTTTTAATACGCACAAGCTTGATTTGGTCGCCATTTTGAATTTACACTCCCAGTGACACCCCCGAGACACCTATGAAAAAAAAACACTAAAAAATTATTCACGGGTCAAAGTCTATAATAACTGGACTAAAAAGCGGAGGCCTACGAAATACATTTTTAGGGGATGAAAATTAAAAAATCATTTGCGATGTTATCAAAAGAGCCACTTGGTTCGGAAGTATTTATTATTTGTAATGCTTGTATCGTTGGAAAATAGTTATTTATTATACAAGGGAAAAAAGTAGTAGATTTTAGCTCCAGGTTGTGTTGTCTCCCGACGCGTAGCGGAGGGAGACAAAAAACCGTGAGCTAAAATCTAATATTTTTCCCGTGTATAATACACTATTTTTTTCTGTGACAGAAGGAAGGACGAATCAATATTGAGAAGATATTACATTATTTCGAAATCTGAAAATTATCGACGTGAAATTTCAAGTTTTTAACAGTAGGGACACCTGCGTTTTATAGACATCTTTATCATTATTTTGAAGTAATCAAATATCTGATGTCACTTTCTGTCAGTTCAATTCTGTGATTTGATTTTGAAAAATTGCGAATTCAGTAGTTGTTTAGTAATATACGAAACCGCGAAGTCGAATGGAAGATAAAAGGACTTGCAGTTCTTTCTCGGAGACGGTATTATTGACTCATTTTTCGGAACTATAGCACAACAAAAGCCATTAACAGAGTATATATATGTGATATATATCCGGGAAAAAAGTACTCACTTTTTTCCCACGGGAAAAAAGTAATTTATGAAAAGTGACATTTTATAACCTGCCAACAGAGATGAAATGCCAAACTTTTTTCCCGTCACAGAAAAAAGGATATTTTGTCACGATAACTCATTTGACATGTTTCTTGAATCTGTAGTGGAGCCTAGTCGTCAAAATTTGGGCGATCTTCGCAGAAAATATGGTTAAATAGATTTCCACTGAATAAATATGATTGTAGTTAGTCCTGTTGAAAACACATCAACATACCATGGA